GGGCCAGGCTCAATTTCTAGGGCTGTCTCGATTTGGAATTCTGAGTCTGCGGTAGGGAAAACAATTGGGGCTCGGTTTGAAGAGTGATTGGCGAGACCAAATCTATGGCGATGGATAAACTTACAATAGCTGGAGTGATGACATCTTCTGAGACGATTTTTGTTACTCTTTCATGTGGCAAATGAGGTTTCATACAGCGAGAAGCCTTATGTCCTAACTGTCCACAATCTCCACAAGTAGTTGGGACCCAAGAACATTCAACATTAACCATAGATATGTTTCCTTTTTTATCAGCTGCTGCAATCCGAGGAGGGAAAGCTTTACTCAACTCCACTTCCACTAAGACTTTGGCCTCACCCATTAGTGAAGGCTCAAGTCTAGGTTTGTAAGTAGCCATAGGAGCACCAAGACAATATATTGGTATAAATTCGAAAATAGACTGTATATATACACGTAAACACTATATGGTTAAGTTTTACCTGCAATTAACGATTCTGTTACTATCGTTAACGACCGTTAACGCGGAGGTACGAATCTACCAAAATTTTAAAAACAAAGAATTTAAAAGACAACAATAATTAAGTTAGATATTTTTATTCAATTTTAAAACTACACGTATTAAACGGCCAAATAAAAAATAAATGACGGTTTTTTCGGGTTTTTTCCCTTAATTGTAGTCTTACTCCTTTCTTATTTTTTTTTTAACTTTTATATATAACAACTCATTCCTTATTAATTGACATTATTGGGCTGAGTTTCTCACATTTTGAGATACCCAATAATATTTATATTCTTATTCTTATTTTATTATTTGTGGAAATACTTTGTTAAAACCCATGAATGAGGTGCTCTAAGGGCATCCACAGTAGGGCATTTTTGAATTTTGAGTGTATATATTTAAGTCAATTTAATAATATAATAACAGTGGGGTAGAGATGTCTGTGTAGAAAATCAAAGGAGAGAGAGAGGAAAAAAAAATGTGGGAGAAGAAAAAGAGGATTTCGGCGACTCACAGCACGGCACGTCATCTTACACTCGACGAGAGGGAAGTTGTTACTTCACACCCGGATGTTGTCTTTCTCCTTACTATTTGATTACTTTTGTTTTTTTTAATCCTCACACCCCAGTAGAAAATATGCTGCTGCGTATGGTCTAACCTATACTATAGTACCTTATGTATAATAGTATACTTTGTTACACGTGCAGCATATTTAATAGTATAGTATTGTTTAATTTTTTCTCTTTTAATACATAAACACACATTTTATGTGTTTCTGTGTTTACAACTTTATGTACAACATGCACTACTTGCTTTGTAACCCTTCAACACGTAATCTACATGCCCAACTAGTATGTGTATATATACAAAGTTACAATTAACTCTCTCTCTTTTGTTTTAATGTGAGATTCGTTTTGCTTAATTAAAAGTAACTTGTTCACTTAGATTGTTCTTAGTATGAGTTGTTCTCGTACTAAGTAGAGTCTAAGAGAACAACATATTTTTAATTTTTATTCACACAAAAGAGTCATAAGGTCCGTTGCTTTGTCTATCGTTTGTTCGTTTTCGTTATATGATTTTGTACTAGTAACAACCGGTGTTTTCAAATTTTGCGAACTAATCAACACGAAAAATAAAATGTGAATATCACAGCTTTCTTTTGGTTTTGATTGGTTACTCGTAGAAGGATAAAACATCAATTGCTACTAGTGTTACGAGTTGAGCAAATTGTAATTTGAATAATTTCTCGACTAAATCGCACATAAAATTTATGGGGCGAAAGCTTATTTTTAAATATGATCTACTGATATATTTCTTAACACTAAAACCAAAAAAAAAACAAAAAATTTAATGATATATTTGAAATAATGATAGATAAAAACTTTTTAAGCAGAAACAACATATTAAAGTCCTTCTCCATCCTTGTAATGTTGAAGATTTCACAATTTTCTTAAGGGGCGTATTCAATCAAGTATTTGTAGTGATTTGTGCTAAAATAAAAACTCATATGTTATTCAACCATGAATTTTAAAAAGTCTTCTAAAAAAATCTAGTGTTATTGAACTAGTGATTTGACAAAATACTTTAAAATCTATTGTATTGAAAACATTTTTAAACATTGGATTTTAGTGACTTTAAAAGATTTGGGAGGATTTCTTTACTTAAAATACAAAAAATTTAAATCTCATGGTTTTAAATAAAATTTCGGGAGATTTTACAACAAATCATAAGAATTTCTCTAAATTCACCTAAAATAATCTAAAAATTCATTAAAACTCAAATCATATATATAAAAGTTGGCCAACTCTCTCCATATGAGTGACACATCATCACACAAGAAAGTGACATGTGTCATTCAATATTATTTAAATTAAAAATCAGCAAAATTAATTGAAAAAAAATCAAAAGTCTCCTATTGTGTTAAATCCTCCAATAATCCATTTCTTAAATGATTTCTTCAAAATAAAAATAAAAAGTATAAAATTATTTTAATAAATCAATTACTACTTTCATTTTACTTTTATTATTTTTCTAATTTTTTTTAATTTAATAGGCAATGGTCATCACTCGATATTGTGTGTTGTAGTTTAGTTGTTTGCTACCTAATATCTTATTAATTTAGTAGTTTTACCTTGAATATTTTTTTATTATTACGTTATGGTTCATATCTTATCATATGACATTCTCTCTTTTTATTTTTGTATCTTATGGTAAGTTCGTAATTAACATTGACATGCAAAATTTTACAAGTAATAAGCTTTTGAGACGTTAGACATACTACGAAATTCAAGACAAATTCATTTCTCTTATATGGCTATATACAATAGCATAAAATCTAAAAGTGTTACTTGAATAACTCTTTATGTTTTGCTTTCTTTTTCTTCTTTTCATACGAAAACTCTTGAGATCAAAATATCTTATATTCTTGTTGTGTGTATTCATGGTAATGAACAAATACTAGAATCTTAGATATAAAAATAATCAGATTATACATGAAAATGTATAATTTGATATTTAGAGTCAAAAACGAATTTAACAATAAAAATTGTAAGTAAATAAGATGAGTTTAATTTTATTAAGTATACAGTAACAAACAAAAAAAACAAACACAAATTAGCAACAAAAACAATTAACATATTTTTATCTTAACAATTTTCAAAACAAACCCACGCGTAGCGTAGAAATTCATCTAGTAATTATAAATATAGCGTTGAATACACTAATTAGTTTGGTTTTTGTCAATTTCTCTTTCCGCTAAAATAATCTGAATTGCAAAGCCGTGTGTTTTAATGCGATTTTGTTTAAGTCCATTTAAGTTAAAACCGAATCAGACACCCTACGTTTTTCCCCACCAAGGCTCCAACAAACGATTATATTTTGCTACATTTTCCTTATTACATGGTCGCAGACAGCCAAACTAATATTGTAATCATATCCCTTATATAAACGATATATGTGCAAGGCAGCAAGGCCATAATATAGAACACTTCCAATGTATTGGGGATGCACGTGAGGGAACCATAGCGTGTAGGTTTTTGTTGGGCAAGGATAATAGACGAATAAATATACTTGGTGAACAACATATGGTATGTTGCCTTATCAAAAAAAAGCATATGGTATGTTGCATAAGAAATTAATATCACATGTAGGTTTACTGGTAAAATTTTGACGAATGAAAAAAGTTTGTTGAAATGAATTAATTGAAGCTATAAAAGTCATGGAATGTGGAAAAACATTTTTCTTTGTCTGGTGGGTTTAATTTAATATAGGATATAAGTCTTATAAGTAGGGCTGGGACTATTATCCGGATCCGGGATCCAATCCGGGATCCGCTCCGATCCGCTCCGGAAAATAGGATATCCAGACCAAGCGGTTCCGGATCCAGATAATAGAATCATGGATCCGCTTAAAACGGATCCGGATCCGGATATCAATATTTTTGTGATCCGGATATCCGGATCCAGATAAATATCCGTTACATAGAAATATCATTTAAATATATTTATTTTCATTCTATAATTTAATATATGAAAACAAAAATGACGAAAAATAACGTAGGCTTACAAACTCATATATATAACAGCGTAGGGGAATGCTACTTTTCATAGCTTCTCGGTGTGGGACTTTAGTATTTTCTCTTTGCTTTTTGACGTTTGTCCCACATCGGTTACGTAAACTCATTTTGTCCTCTGCAAGTGTTATAAATAGCCACTAAAACCTACAGAATTTTTAATTGAATTGGGCTTACAACACAGTTGAGTTGCCCATTAGCTGGCCCAATCAGTTTAATTGTTTTAATAACATAAGGATCCGGATCCGGATATCCGCTAGATTTTAATTTTTCAAGCGGGTATCCGATGGTCGGATATCCGGTATAACTGGATCCGAATAAAAAAATTAGAGATCCGCCCGCACCGGATCCGGATCCGGATATCTCAAAAATGCCCAAAAATGCCGGATATCCGGATCCGTCTCAGGGCTACTTATTAGACATAAAAATATGAAATTTGAAATCTAAACAACTTTCCATCGATTAGATAAACCTGAAATCATTATATTAAAATTTTCATATATAAAGTAGGGCTATATTAATTGATATGCATGGAGGATTGCAAAATTAAAAATCTATCCATACTTATTTTTTTATTAGTTCTCTTTCCTCTGACTCAATTAATACCAAAACTACCCTTTGTTAGAATTAAATGCTAACAAAAAATAATAACAAGATAAATAATTTAGTGTTAACAATAAAAATAACATTGTTCATTTGTTATCGGAAACACTATCTATCATCGGAATCAATAAGGAAACAATGATTTTTGTAGTTATCTATTTGATTAACAATGTAAATCAAATTGTATCGCGATAAATAAAACTAAAACACTGTTCGGCCAACATCAAAAACACTATTCATCACGAGATAAAATAAAAAGATAATGATTTTGCTGATTATTTATTTGATTAGCAATATAAATTAGATTGTATCGCGATAACTTTTCAAGTTTTATGATAAATTTATATTTATCATGTTAAATTATTTATTATCTGATTGATATCAACTAACTTATATATTGACATGTTTATTTATTTCAACAATTTATTTATTACCGTTAACTTATGCATTAGCATCGTTAACTTATGCATTAGCATATTTATTTATCGTGATAACTTGTTTATCACGGTTAACTTATGTGTTATCGTGGACGTAAAAAACAATAAAATTTCATTCTTCTCGGGTATCCTCCTCTGTCGTCATTCTTCCAAATTTTCTTCTTCTTTCATTGTCACCTGCAACTCCAACCCATGTTCACCTGCAAATTTCCTTTTTATTTTCTTTATCTTCGTCCTCTCCATCTTCACTTTAAATTACAAAACTATAATTTTTATCCCAAAATTCTTCAAATTAAAATTTTAATCCATCTAAACTCATGTAAGTTCTCTCTATTTTTATGAATCGTTTGGTGATAATTGTGTGTTACATATAAAAACAATGAATTTTATTAACCAAATGGAGAATTGGATATAAAATCTGTTTGAAAAAAATGGAAATGACGATGAAGAAAGAAGATGATTTGGAAAGAGGAGGATTTGGAAGAAAGACAAATATTCAAGTGTTTAGAAAAAGGGTAAAATGGTAAAAACATTATTCTCTCTCTTGCTCACTTAATTAATAAAAAAGCATGCATACAGACTTAATTCTTTGATCTTCTAAGCATAGATATTGATATTTGCCTATAAAGTAAGCAAAAGGAAAAAGAAGAACAACATATGAGAGATGAGACGTGAAGTACCAAACAAACACCATTATTACAGCTTCAGCTTCGTCTTCCTCTTCTTTTTCTTAATTCTGTTCCCTGATTTCTCTATCTCTACCAACACTTTGTCAGCTACAGAATCTCTGACTATTTCAAGCAACAAAACCATTGTGTCTCTGGGTGATGTCTTCGAGCTTGGTTTCTTTACAATCCTTGGTGATAGTTGGTATCTTGGGATTTGGTACAAGAAAATCCCTGAGAAAACCTATGTTTGGGTTGCAAATAGAGATAATCCTATCTCTACTTCCACTGGAATCCTCAAAATCTCCAATGCTAACCTTGTCCTCCTAAATCACTTTGATACCCCTGTTTGGTCAACCAATCTAACGGCAGAGGTGAAATCTCCAGTGGTGGCAGAGCTTCTGGATAACGGAAATTTCGTGCTAAGGGACTCCAAAACCAATGGCTCAGATGAATTTTTGTGGCAGAGCTTTGATTTCCCGACAGATACTTTACTACCGCAGATGAAGTTGGGTCTGGATCACAAAAAAAGGCTCAACAAATTTCTTCGTTCCTGGAAAAGTTCATTTGATATGTCAAGTGGGGATTATTTGTTCAAAATCGAAACTCTAGGGCTACCTGAGTTTTTTATTTGGATGAGTGACTTTAGAGTGTTCCGGAGCGGCCCTTGGAACGGAATCCGATTTAGCGGCATGCTGGAGATGCAAAAATGGGACGACATTATTTATAATTTAACGGAGAATAAAGAGGAGGTCGCTTTCACTTTCCGACCAACTGACCACAACCTCTACTCGAGATTGACAATAAATTACGCGGGGTTATTACAGCAATTTACCTGGGATCCGATATACAAAGAATGGAACATGTTATGGTCTACATCAACGGACAACGCGTGTGAGACCTATAATCCTTGTGGTCCTTACGCTTACTGTGACATGAGCACGTCACCAATGTGTAACTGTGTCGAAGGGTTTAAACCGAGGAACCCGCAAGAATGGGCGTTGGGAGACGTGAGGGGTAGATGTCAAAGGACGACACCATTGAACTGCGGTAGAGATGGCTTTACACAGCTGAGGAAAATAAAGTTGCCAGATACTACGGCAGCGATCGTGGACAAGAGAATTGGGTTTAAGGATTGTAAAGAGAGGTGCGCTAAGACTTGTAATTGTACTGCGTTTGCTAATACCGACATTCGAAATGGTGGTTCAGGTTGTGTGATTTGGATCGGAAGGTTTGTGGATATCCGAAATTATGCTGCCGATGGTCAAGATCTTTATGTTAGAGTGGCCGCTGCTAATATCGGTGAGCACTTTCTCCTAGTACTAGACACGGATAGAACATGAGAACTTAAAGGGATCCAGATCCATATGTTAAACCTTTTTTAATGGATCCCATATCCAAATTGGATTCACAAAAAGTATTTTTTTACGTCAGTTATACTTAAAAGTTGATATAATTATATTTGGCAAAAATCCCTAATTATATAAACAATTAAAAATAGAAATATATATATATATATATATATATATATATATATATATTTAGAATCTTTCCGTCGTCATATATTTTTAAGGATATTAAAATGTATTTTTTTGTGAAATTTTTTAATATTTAATTCTAAGATACTACAATATAAAACAGTTTAAAAGAAAAATTGAAGACGATATAATTGTATTCCTTCAAATATAGGAGCCTAATATATATAAAAGATTCAAAGATAGGAGCCTAAAAAATTTTCATACCATTCCTTCACTTTGTTTTCCAGGGGACAGAAAACACATTAGTGGACAAATTATAGGTTTGATTGTTGGAGTAAGCTTGCTGCTTCTTGTGAGTTTCATCATGTACTGGTTTTGGAAAAAGAAACAGAAGCAAGCAAGAGCAACTGCAGCTCCTAATGGTAAATTAGTAACCTTTATCATCGTTTTTTGTTTTGGTAATTTTTCTTATTATCATATATTTTGCGTCTGGAAACAGTGTATCGCGAGAGAACTCAACATCTAACCAATGGGGTGGTAATATCCAGCGGGAGACACTTGTTTGGCGAGAACAAAACAGAGGAATTGGAACTTCCACTCACGGAGTTTGAAGCTGTTGTTATGGCAACCGATAATTTCTCTGATTCCAACATACTTGGACAGGGTGGTTTTGGTGTCGTGTACATGGTAAAAATGACGAAACACTAAAAAAACCACAAGGCACCAATGAGTTACCTTGACGGGAAAGTTATAATACACGATATACATATGTTGTATATAACTTATGAAAATATATGCTGGCAGGGAAGGTTACCTGACGGGCAGGAGATTGCTGTGAAAAGACTATCAATGGTGTCACTGCAAGGGGTCAATGAGTTCAAGAACGAGGTGAAGCTGATCGCGAGACTTCAACACATAAATCTTGTTCGACTTTTTAGTTGTTGTATCTACGCGGATGAGAAGATATTGATCTATGAGTACTTGGAGAATGGAAGCCTCGATTCTCATCTCTTCAGTTAATGCCTCACCTTTTTACTAGTTGTGTTTTTCAATTGAATGTCATCTAAACGATTTTTATTTTATTTGGTTGTGATCAATATGCAGAAAAAGTCCAAAGCTCTAAGCTAAACTGGCAAAAGAGATTCAACATTATTAATGGTATTGCTCGAGGACTTTTGTATCTTCACCAAGACTCACGGTTTAAGATTATCCATAGAGATTTGAAAGCGAGCAATGTCTTGCTTGATAAAGATATGACCCCAAAGATATCGGATTTCGGGATGGCTAGGATATTTGAAAGGGAAGAGACGGAAGCTAGCACCAAGAAGGTGGTTGGAACATAGTAAGTATTAAGAACATCATTATATGCCTGAAAACAAAATCTTATTGTCTTAACTGAATAAAAATGGTAATAATGAGTTTCATCCTTCTTTATGTAGCGGTTACATGTCTCCAGAATACGCAATGGACGGGATATTCTCAGTAAAATCGGATGTCTTCAGCTTTGGGGTATTGGTTCTTGAAATTGTCAGTGGAAAGAGGAACAGAGGATTCTACAACTCGAACCAGGACAATAATCTTCTTAGCTACGTAAGCTCAAACCTCTCAAATTTTATCTTCTTTCGTTGAGAATTATCAAACACATGTATTTCTTTTATCTTTATGAACAGACGTGGGATCATTGGAAGGAAGGAAAATGGCTAGAGATCGCCGATCCAATCATTGTAGGCACATCATCATCATCGTCAACGTTCCGACCACACGAAGTCTTAAGATGCTTACAGATTGGTCTCTTATGTGTTCAAGAGCGTGCAGAGGACAGACCAAAGATGTCTTCGGTGGTTTTCATGCTAGGAAATGAAAAAGGGGAAATACCTCAGCCTAAACCGCCTGGTTATTGCATCGGAAGAAGTTTTCTTGAGACTGATTCGTCATCCAGTACACAACGCAATGAATCTTCGACAATAAACCAATTCACTGTCTCGGTCATCAACGCTCGGTAATTGGAAGAAGCTACTGAGCCAGTTCTTCGTTTCAAGATTTCTAAAGTGAGTGATATAAGAATCAATATGTAAAAGAAGAAATTCTCATTAGCTAGTTAATATTACTACAGATTTGGTATTTCTACATTAAAATTGTATTCTATAATTGTTTTGCTGCGACTATGTTTATGTCCAAACTTGTATTTGGCGGCAGCATTATAAAGCACTAGTATTATGGTTCCGCATATTGGCAAAGTGATTTAAATTATTTAGGTTAAAATTAATACACTTTGTAATGTTTTAAGCGAGTTTAAGATAAATTGATGATTTGCGTAGCGATATTAGTTTTGGTGTAGGTGATTATGAACTTTACTAGATGATGACCCTATTAGAAATGTGGTCTAACTTAACCCAAAAGCCACTTTTTGCTGGTTAAAATTTTGAACTATTTATATTTTCGTTTTTGTGATTTATAAATATATATCTTATCGTTTTTATTGGTTTGTTTAATTTTCTGTTTTCAATAGTTTATATATTATCGATAAAAATAAATTTTCAAAGATATCATTATCAATAATATATTATCAATCTAGTTGTTAATTCTTTTTGTCCATTTTCCAATTATTTTTGTTTCTATGTTATTTTTTTTTTATAATTCATGTCATTCTAAAGGTTTTATAGGCGCAAATACTAATCATGAAGCCCGAAGAAACCATGTTAGAATTCGAACTCTGTTTTTTCTTTTTTTTGGATAACTCAGGTGATCATAAAAGCTTCATAGGTCCAACAACTAATCTTGGGGTCCGGAGAAAACTGCTCGAACCCTGGTTTCTATGTTATTAACGTTCTTTTTTTATTGTTTTAACATTTTCAATATTTTCGGATTTATGTTAATAATTACACTCTAGAAATCTTCGAAATTACCAAAATATTACTCCCTCTCTTTCAATATATAGGATATTTAAGATAAAAACACACACTTTAAAAAAATTATTTTTTTTTTAAAAACTATCATTTATATTTAATTTTAAAAAATTCAACCAATGATATAAAAGACTGCAAAATATAAATGGTCATAAAATAATAAATGTATTTTAAATTGCATAGAAAATTGTAAAACATCATATATTATATTTTAAAACAGAGGGAGTAACATATTAATATGTTTCATACAAATATTAAATTAAGAGTTTTTTTGGTTAAAAATAACTAAATTAACAGTTTAAGTATAAATATTATCTAAAAACTGATTTTTTATTAGAACTATTGATTTAATCAAAGATATATGGAATTTAATTTTATCACTTTCCTAGAAAACTTTTTGGACTGTCTCATCTCTTTATATAAATCTTCGGTATGTATTTTGTTACTAATAAATACATTCATAAAAAATGATTCAGAAGTGTTTTAGTCATTATTCTTCTTTTTATATTTTTAATTATAAAACTTTTTAACATATTTGAAAAAAAAAATCGATTTAACGTAAAACATGGTAAATTTTAATATATTATCATAATAATTTAATACATAATAATAATCAAATATGTTTTAGTAAATTTAATATATAAATACAAAAATTTGTTGAAAATAAGTTTTTCCGCGATATCACGGAGTTTCATAACCTAGTAATATTAGTAGGATGTGTAGACAATTGTTTTTCCAAGTATATACATAATTTTATTGATTTCACGAAAATATAAATTAATCTGATTTGAAACAATACTAAACTGATTACCCAAAAACAATAACACTAAATTTACACGTACTATGTCTCACATCCCAAAAACTTCGCAGTAAATACAACGGCAATGTCGACGACCAGCACGAAATCTACAACGGCATTTAGAAGGGTTGTTGCCATCCTCCGTAAGGTCCCGTTTGCACTGTTCGTCTCCGTTACCGACACATCGTCCAGGGAAGTTTCCCTCAAGATTACACACCTTCTTCCACTTCTGATCTTCCATTCCTATTATTTTATATAGCCAACCATAACGCAACAAATTTAAAATAAAATGAGACATTTTTATCAACACTGTCATTACTCATTAGTGATTAGTATATATATGTCTTTAGCGATTAGTTATAATTAGTGTTTTAAAGTTTTCGAGTGATCCATTTTATGAACTCTTTGAGAAATAAGAAAAAGCACGGATCAATCAAAACTGAAAGGACGTTGATATATAACTTATAGAGAACGAGGGGACAACACAAACGACACCGTAAAGGGATTAAGGAAATTAATTTATAGAGGTTTTACTATATACTCTCTCCGTTCTTTTATAAGTGATGTTTTAAACTTCTAATTTTGTTCTTAAATAGATGATGTTTTCAATTTTCAATGCAAAATTAATTACTTTATTATTGGTTTTGACGATTTATATTCTGTAGATTGTTTTTTATTGGTTGATTAGATAATAAATGATGTTTTAGTTTAGAAATAAACAAAAATTAAATGATTTCTTAATCTATGTGCATTCTCCTAAAACATCACTTATAAAAGAACAGAGAGAGTATAATTGTAATAAATACATTCAAAAAACACTAATTACATGTTTTGATTAAAATTATGGGGAAAAAGACAGGAGAATCCATGCCAACAATATATTAACAGGATCGGTCGTTAAGCTTTAGAATAATTTAATTGTTCATAATATTTTTACTAATTAAGAATATTACGAAATGATAGCTGCGACGAAATTGAATCAGCAAAAACTATGTGTGGTTCACAAATATAGGAACTAATATAATATGGGAAGTCGGTAACTAAAATTATACATTATTAAAATATTAATATTCATTTCATTTTTCTATTTATGATTTGTAGAATTATCCCAAATTTAAATTTTATTAAAGAATACTTATCTAAATTTGATATTTTATAGACAAGCAAATGACAAAATAAATTAAAATAATTATTTTTGTTATTTTACATTTTGTTAGAAAAGAATCAGGTTTGGATTCGTAAATAGGATTAGTGTTGCTGTATAAATCCCAGTCCTAGAGGAAGAGAAGCTCTAATCTAAGCCGGTATTGAGTTAAATATTATCCTATATTTTCTTGATTTTTTTTAATTAAGAAAATCTCTTCTTACAATAATTTCTTTTACGCATATGTGACGTGTATATATTGACACTATCGACTCATAATTCATTCTCCACTGATTTACTTGCAAAACAGACTTGTCTAGATCCGTGACAAAAAAAAAATTGACTTGTCTAGATATTATATTTGACTTATATGAAATGTTGGTCGATATATATTTTATTTTGTTCATTTACCAACAGTATATATGTAACAGAATTCTCAATCTGGGGATATTACAATAAACTTCTTTTTTTTTGCAGTACAATAAACTTATCTAAAGTATTAACTTACATTATATTAATCAATAATCATATGGACCAGACTATTACTCCATTTTATATTTCATAACACTATTTTTTCACAATTAAACCGATAAGATCAAAAGAAAACTAGTAAATTACCTTGAACATGGCTTATAAGCAAAGACATGATAACATAAGAAACCACAAACAAAACACTACACCTCATGATTTTCTTGTCTGAAATAAATTTGACTTTTTCGCTTAGATAGTTCTTAGTGTAATGTGTTATATAAGTTGCACGCCCAGTGTTGATAGATAGGTTCATATATACATAAAATTGTGTACAATAAACACATAAAAGTCATGTGTTTATGTGGTTACGTATAAAAGAGTTACAAGACAATGAATATACAAAACACATAAACACAAAATGTGCTTAACGTGTTACGTGTAAAAGATTTAAAAACAATTGATGCATGTATATATATGTATTAGGTATATAATAATACAAAGTATATCAAATTATAAAACTTGCAGGAATTTAGTAAACAAATATTTTGTGTAGTGACCATGTATGAGTTCTTTATTTATTTTTTTCATCTGCTCATTAAAATATCATCCAACAAAATTCGGAAAAAAACATAAACTAGAACAAAACCAAGGAAAATGGCTAAACACATTAGTGGTATACATGAGAATCACTTTCCAAAAAAAATAAAAATTCAATAAATATTTTAAAGAGAAATTGTTAAAAATGCCCCTTTTTCAATACCACTTTTCAAAAATGCCTCATTTGAGAGTCCATTTTTAAGTTTGTCCTCTTTTAATTTTTAATGACCATTTTACCCTTATTTGAAACAAAATTAAGTCCACAAAATACAAAATATAAAGTGATCCCGCAAATTTTTGGCGGGAGACATGATCCCGCAATTTTCTCGCCAAAATTTTTTTTTTCGAGAAAAGTGATTCCGCAATTTTTTTGGCGGGAAAAATTTACAAGGTATTTTAAAGGTTTTACAGAGTATTTACAAGTGTTTTGTAAGGTTTTACAATGTATTTTAAAAGGTTTTACAAAGTACTTATAAAGTTTTATAAGGTTTTTATAACTTGTAAAACCTTATAAAAAACTTGTAAAACCTTATAACTTGTAAAACCTTATAAAATAGCTTGTAAAATCTTATAATATCTTATATATACCTTATAAATACGTTGTAAAACCTTTTAAAATACATTGTAAAACCTTAAAAATACCCTGTAAAAACCCTTTAAAATACCTTGTAAATTTTTCCCGCCAAAAATTTAACGCCAAAAAAATTGCGGAATCACTTTTCCCGCAAAAAAAATTTTTTGGCGGGAAAATTTTTACAAGGTATTTTAAAGGTTTTACAAGTTTTTACAAATCAAATTTGTAATTTTGATGTGTGCACATTCTCATGTTTTCCTTATATATTTGTGATATCTTTTATTAAAAGAAGGGTAATTTAGTGATTTTGTACATAAAAAAGGGTATTTTTAAAAATAGACAGCCAAAAAGGACATTTTTGAAAAGGAGTATTGAAAAATGAGCATTTTTGTGAGTCTCCCTTTAATTGATAAAAATAGTGAAATCACGTTTTCAAAATGTGAAAATGTGAACAAGTATTTTTCGGCAAAAATAAAAAGAAGAAACATTTTTCATACAAATTAAACAAACAATAGCCAGACATTGTAGTCTCTTTCTCGGTAATGGAAGTTACAAGTTTCAAAACCATAGGGATGTGCAAGGAGGAGAGTCACCATAGAATTAAACGATTCTTAGATCATAACATGCCACAAAACATTTATGCAGATGATTATTTGATAAAATAATTAAGTTTTGGACACGGAAACTCTATGCGAATGGACCTCCTTGATATCTATCACTCGTGCCATTGGCCATGACTGTTTTGCCACATAAGAGAGGGGACAAAAATATTATGCCGACAAAACAAACTGGAGAAGCAAGTTTCCTTAATGATAAAAAGTAAATTTTGCAAGAAAAAACCGATTCATATGGTAAACTTTGCTATTAAAACTTACATAGAAATATTATATGCATATAAACAGATTGGCTCGGTAACTTTCAAATTATCGGGCATCAAGGACTGAGACAGTGATTTGGTTCACTGTCCAAGATTCATCGTCACGCTTTTTACTCGACGAAGAATCAGTCTCAAGAGGACTTCTCCCGACACAATAATCGGGCGGTTTAGGCGGAGGAATAGACGTTGTTTCGCTTCCGAGCATCAAAACCATTGAGGACATCATTGGTCTATCCTCTGCACGTTCTTGAACACACAAGAGACCAATTTGTATGCATCTTAAGATTTCATGTTGCATGAACGGTGATGAAGAATCTGTGATGATTGGATCTATGATTTCTAGCCCTTTTCCTTCTTTCCAATTCCTCCACACCTGTGTATAATGATCGAAATTTTCTAGTGTTATCATTAAATTTTGAATGGAAAACAAGATCACGTTTGAGAGGATTTTAGCTTACACAACCGAGAAGATTAAGGTCACGGTCAGAATTGTAGAATCCTTTGTTCCTCTTGCCACTTATTATCTCAAGAAGCAAGACCCCAAAGCTGAAAACATCCGACTTCATCGAGAATATCCCGTCCATTGCATATTCAGGAGACATATAACCGCTGCATAACGAAGATTAGACTCAAAGTTATGAGTTAAATTATTATTTTTTCAGATTTAAAACAAAGATTTTTGATATTTTGGAGAATGATTGCTTACTAGGTTCCGACCACCTTCCTCGTACTAGCTTCTGTTTCATCCCGTCCAAAGATCCTAGCCATTCCAAAATCCGAGATCTTTGGAGTCATATATTTATCAAGCAAGACGTTACTTGCTTTCAAGTCCCTATGGATAATTCTAAACCGTGAATCTTGGTGAAGATATAAAAGTCCTCTAGCAATACCATTGATGATATCAAATCTCATTTGCCAATTTAGCTTAGAGCTTCGGGATTTGTCTGCAAACGAATTTTAACCGGATTGAGTACATTATTTTAAAGGGCATTCAATTGTTAGAACAAGTTGGAAGGATTTGAGACGCTAACCAAACAAATGAGAGTCGAGGCTTCGATTTTCCAAGTACTCGTAAATCAACATCTTCTCACCCGCATCGACGCAACATGCAAGAAGCCGAACAAGGTTTATGTGCTGAAGCCTTGCAATCAATTTCACCTCATTCTTGAACTCATCAGTCCCCTGAACTGACGTCTTTGATAATCTCTTCACCGCGATTTCTTGACCATCAAGCAACCTTCCCTGTAACCCGACATTTTAATACACAACAAAATCTTGTCCAATGATAGATTCTAAATTAGGTTTTCAATCATGTGTACCTTATAAACTATTCCAAAACCACCTTGTCCAAGCTTGTTGACAGTAGAAAAATTGTCTGTGGCCATGGCAACTTCTTCAAACTCCATCAATGGCAATTCGAGATCGTCTGTATTGTTTTCTCTAGATATGTGTCTCCTACTTGATATTACCACTTCGTTCATTAGCAAATCTCGGCTTCTCACTTGATCAACTGTTTCATTCAGACACCAAAAACAGTCAAGATATTAGTTTATCAAAATTTACAGATAAAAATAAAGAATTAAAAGTTACTGGTTTACCAGTAGCTGTTTCAATTAGTATTGATCGCTTCTGCTTCTTTTTCCACAAGAAGAAGATAATGAAGCTTAAAAGAATCAAAACGCTCACTCCAATACTTGAACCAATGATTTTTGCACTTCTGTTTCTTTTGTCCTCTGAAATAGTGAAAAGGAGATACCAATCGTTAGTATACACAAACTAATAAACTTTGTCGTACTTTTGATTAAAAAATAAGGGAAAGTTACTAGATTAACATAAATAGTGGTCTACCTAAACATAATTTCTTTTGGCATTTGGGTGTACCTTAAACCATATTATTCTTGAGATTGATAAGTTTTTGTGAAGAATATAGTAGTACTCAAAAGTTTCACTAATGCGTTGCATCTTTTAAGAAGATTAAAAGTCCATTGGACATTAGTTCTTTATCACAAAAGTTTCCACATATAATTCCAAGACCGAACGCGTCAACATCTCAATCAAGTTTAAGAAGTTTGAAAAGAGGAAAAATAAAACTAATTGTTAAATTCAAAATCTGTTAACCAACAACAATGTAACTTTGACTTGCACTATTCAACACCTTTTTCTAACATTCTACCGAGAAAAAAAAAAAAAAAAATCTCATTATCTATCAACCGTTACTTAGCAAAAGTAAATGTGGAAAATGAAAACCAAACATATGTCATTAGTCTAATAGAGATAGTGGAGAATGAACAAACCGAGATCAGTAGCAGCCAATCTAATGTAAAGATCTTGACCTCCTTTAGCATAATTCCTGATATCAAAAAGCTCGCCAGTCCAAGTCACACAACCCGACCCGCCACCACGAATATCCGTATTCGCAAACGCCGTGCAGTTACAATCTTTTAAACATTTCTGTTCACATTCTTTAACACCAATTCCTCTGTCTACACTAGCCGTCGTAGTATCCGGCAATTTCATCTTCTTCAACCGCACAAACCCATCTCCGCCACCGCAGCTCAGCACCGTCTTTCGCACACACCCATCTGACCCATCTCTCAACCCCCACACTTGCGGATTCTTTGGCTTAAACCCTTTAATACAATTACAAACCGGTGAAGTGTTTGAATCGCAATAACCGTAAACCCCACACTCTTTGTAATCATCGCATTGGTCTTTTGGTGCGTACCAGAATTGGTTCCAATTTTGTGCTGTCTGAATCCAAGTGAATCTTTGTAACAATCCCGTTGAGCTTAGGCTTAACCTCGAGTAAATATCGCTTTTAGTGACTCGAAATGAGTAAGTCACTTCTTCTCTACTCGTTGTGAAATTGAAAACCATGTATTCAAATGGTTGCATCTCCGGTACACCACTAAACCGGATTCCATTCCATGGACCGCTCCGGTACACTCGTGATTCTCTGTTCCATAGAAAAACCTCAGGGAAGCCTTCAGCTTCAAGTTTAAACCAGAAATCGCCGCTTGATGGATCATCTGGAGATTTCCATGATCTAATGAATCTGTTGAACCCGGTTTTGAGATCCCAACCCAGTTTCATCTCCGGAAGTAAAGTATCTGTAGGAAAATCAAAACTCTGCCACAAAACTCCATCTGGACTGTTGTTCTTGGAGTCTCTAAGCACAAAATTACCATTATCAAGAAGCTCTGCCACCAGTGGAGATCTCACATCTCCTCCGGTCAGATTGGTCGACCAAACTGGTGTATCAGACTGATCCAAAACGACGAGATTATTATTGTCGGAGATTTTGAGAGTTCCAATGGAACTAGAGAGAGGAGTGTCTCTGTTTGCAACCCATACGTAGGTCCTCTTAGAGATTGTCTTGTACCAAATCCCGAGATACCAACGAGAATTTGAACCGGGCTTGAAGAAACCAAGCTCGAAGACATTACCAGGAGACACAATGGTGTTGTTGCTTGAGATAGTTAGAGATTCTGTAGCCGACAAAGTGTTGGCAGAGATAGAGAAAGCAGGGAACAGAATTAAGACGAAGAAGAAGAAGAACAAGAAGGTGTAAGAATGGTAGAAATTTGGTACACCTCTCATGTCTCTAAAACAAGTTTTTTTTTTTTCTCTCTCTTTCTTGAGAAAATTATGAGAATTTTTTTCCTTTGGAGATATCGGACATGTTTTGTTTTAAATGTTTGAACCTTACGTAACCGATTTTATTTCTATCAATAATTTATTCCCTTGCTTTTTTCTTTTCTTGGTCTTCTTGTTCGCATTTGGAAAATATCTAGTTAAATGTACTATGTACAGTCCAATTCATAGTTGACCTAGCAAATATAAAGTCTTCTATTTTTTTTTTTTCAGGCTTTCTTTCATTTTCCACAAGTTTACTTCATAGATTCACAATTATTTTATCGTTTTTCTTCAAAAATATGATATTATTGATCACCCACTTTTTTTTATGAATTTGATCTTAATATATTAATTTTATTATCAGTCAACCGTTTGTATGCTTCGAGAGTTATATAAATTTCAGTGTTCTTTTTCGTAATTAATAACTCAAATTTATTTTTTTGTATCCTTCCCAATGTTAGTATTCCCCAAACAAACCCCACTTTAACTTATTTCCGCATTCTCCGAAGACAAAAAAGAAAGGGGTCGTTCCACGTTTTCTAAATAATTCATCATTCCAACCAATTTTATAATAAATCTACATTTGAATTATTCATCACCAACAATAATGTTGTCCTATGCATTTTGTTTGACGATTTTGTAAGTTAGAATAAAATCGTTGGCTTTGGAGCTTGGAGGAGAAGAAACTCTATGTTAACACGGTTTTAGGTTTATGATATATTTAATAATTTCATATGCAAGACCAAATACTCTTTCACTAAAAAAACAGTATGTTTTTACCAAAGTCAACGCTCCAAAAGTCTTAGCTTTGAACATCCTCATAATTCTTCGTTCCTCGTTTGATTATACATAACGATAGTCTACACATATAATCAATCCCATTTTTATCAAATACAATAATCCTACGATGTTTGTGGGAAACCAAACTAGATATATTCATGTTCAAATGCGCTTATTAAGATAGATAAATAAGCTAAGAAAAGAAATAGTTCATTAAGCGTTATTGTGCAAAACATGTAAAAGAGAAAAATATTTAGATTGTCACCAAAATTAACGCAAGCAGGAACTCCCAAAGATTGATTCTATTATATGAATCATATTTTGCTAATAAATCCTCCTAACACACATGGGTAGGCCTGGGCTTTCGGTTAACCGTTCGGTTATCGGTTGGATCCATTCGGTTTCGGTTTCAAAATTTAGTATCTATTCGGATATTTTGAAATTTCGGTTCGGTTTCGGTTCTTTCGGTTTTAAAATTTAGTATCCATTCGGTTATTTTGCTTAGAATATTTTCGGATATTTCGGTTATTTTTGAGTATTTTCGGATATTTTTAGATATTTTTGAGTATTTTACTATTTTTATATATTTTTCAAATATTTTTGATTATTTGGTCTATAAATAACTAATTATTTTGAAAATATAATTGTATTTCGGGTATTTCGGTTACCCGAAATATGTCGGTTCGGTACCGATTCGGTTACGGTTATTTCGGTTATAGAATTTAGTATCCATTTGGTTATTTTCAAATTTTCGGTTCGGTTCGATTTTTTTTGCTTCGGTTTCGGTTCGGTACATTCGGTTCGGTTTATTTGCCCATGCCTACACATGGGCATCACATTGGGCTTGAGCTTGTTTGTCTCATAATATTGGGCTTGTGATGTTTGCTTCAATAGTTTGATTGAAACAACTAAACTATATTTAGTCGAACGAAACAATGATTATGAACCTCATTTCAAAATTACCACTAACATAAGTCTTTTCAAAACTACCATCTTTGGTATAGAAATAATTATTTATTTATTATAGGATTAATTTCAGATAAATAATTTTTGATATTTTATCTGTTTTCATTTTTTTCTAATTATTTGTTAACAACTAATTATAATGGTAATTATACCATTGATATGATATTTTTGAAAACTAATAAAGTGTTGTGTTTTTGCAAAATATAGACAAATTACTGTAGTTGTGTTCTCGCAAGTTTCATACGTTTAACTTTATCAACATAATTTCAAGTTTCAACAACCAATATTCTATTATCCTAATTAACCAAAAAAAATTATACGTTTTCACAGCAATTGTAAACAAACAAAAAAAGACTTTACAAAAGAACAAACAAAAGTATCTTATCGTCCAAGAACAACCGTAGAAGTGATCTCATTAGAAGAAACAATGTATTGTTGGCTCGAATCAAGAGCAAAGTTGACATCAATAGAGTTTCTTCTGTTGGAAGTAAACGTTGGCTCTCTAGGCGCAGCTAGCGTCGCTGTGTCACTCTCTAACATGAGCAAAACTGCAGCCATGTTCGGTCTCTCCGCAGCCGAATCTTGAACACACAACATCGCTACGTGTATGCACCTCAATGCCTCTCGCTTATTGCATGTGACCCTGATCTTTGGATCCACAAGCTCCTCTGATCTCCCATGAGTATACAAATACCAAGCCTGCAACCATTTCAGTTCCCACCATTAATTAGACCATTATAAACCAAACCAAAATTTCAAATGCTCATTTAGAGAGAACAACAGTCTTTAGTAATCTTTAGTTTTTGGGAAACTTACATAACCAATGAGGCTTCCATGTTCAGAAGATCGAAGACTTGTGTTCCTCTTCCCACTTACAATCTCAAGCAACAATACACCGAAGCTGTAAACATCGGATTTTACCGAGAAAAGTCCTTCCATCGCGTATTCAGGAGACATGTATCCGCTAGATTTTTAAATACCAAGAAAAGAAATTGTTCAGAACATTTTTCTCCACAGATTTTTTTGTCATTCAAGTGAAACATTTTTCTCTGTTTTTACTTACTAAGTTCCAACGACGCGAACCGTGTTAGCTTCATTTTGGTTTCCACCAAAGATCCTTGCCATACCAAAATCTGAGATCTTCGGATTCATCTCTGCATCTAACAACACATTGCTAACCTTCAAGTCTCTATGAATGATTCTCAATCTTGAATCTCTGTGAAGATAAAGCAATCCTCTTGCAATCCCTTCAATTATCGAAAACCGCAGTTTCCAGTCTATCAACGCTTGTTTCGTTTCATCTGTCCATTCAAAAGAACAAGAATAAGATGAGTGAAAGAAAATACTTTAATTCTTATTTTTCAATCTTTAGAAGGAAACATACCGAAGAGGAAGAAATCTAAGCTCTTGTTAGGCATATACTCATAAACAAGCATTTTCTCTTCGCCCTCGAAGCAACATCCAAGTAATCTCACAAGATTCCGATGTTGAAGCTTCGCTATGAGAATGATCTCATTCTTGAATTCATCAACTCCTTGTCCAGATTTACCAGATAATCTCTTCACTGCTATCTCACGTCCATCTTCAAGAACACCCTGACAAAAATCTCAGTCATCAACAAAAACATCAAAAAAATGAAACACAAAGACTCTGTCTAGAACCAAAGTAATCAACCAACCTTGTAGACTGGTCCGAATCCGCCTCTTCCGAGCTCATTTTCTTTGCAGAAATCATTAGTAGCTATGGCTATAGCATTGAGACAAAAGACAGGTAACTCAGATGTGTTAACAGCTTTTCCTTCAATCATTATGTCGACTGATCCTGAAAACGCCGAAGTGGTTTCTTTGTTCTTGGTCATATCAGCAACAACAACCGATGTATCAGTGTTCTTACCACAATATGCTCCTGAAACATCTGCAGATAATAAAGGGAAGTGAATCAACAAGATCTTATGTTGTGGTAACGAACTAAGAAATCAAGAAAAAAACGAAAGTTCGTACCTTTCTTTTTCTTGAATCTCCATAGAAGCAGAGCTAGGATTCCTACCAGAACCACACCAACAAGAACCGCGACAATCACTGCTATCTTGGTTTTCTTGTTCTCCCCTACTTCGGAATCAGCTAGACGGATATGAAGCGAAGATCCACCAGCTTCAAACTGTTGTAAATCGACTAAATCTTGGTTCCAAATCATGCATCCAATACCACCAACAAGAGAATAAGCATTGCAAGAACAATTCCTCAGACACCTCTCTCTACAATCCGCAGGATCAACAAGATCATGTGCAGGAATCTCAAAATCAGGCAACTTCACAGATTTCAGAGTCAAGAACTCATCCTCTCCAACGCTAATGTTCCTCTCACATTTCAACGGTGTTCTTCTTCTACAACCTCTACTCCAATTCCCTACAGAAACTTGCTCATAACCATGAATACAGCTACAGATTCCATTAGAGCCTTTCATATCACAAATACCAAACTTGCCACAACGATTATACTGATCACACTCACTATCTGGCTCAGACTGAAACTTAGTCCACTTCTTCAAAGTCTCATTCCATCTCAATTCCTCTTCAGTACCATTATAAAGAACCTTAAACCTAAGTAACACCGACGAATCCGAAGGAACATACGTGAAGTACACGCTACCTGTTTCATCTGGAGGAGACGAAAGCTTGAACCCGTAAAGATAATTCGTCAACAGAGACATATTGGGAATCCCGGTAAAAATCGCGGAATTCCATTGCCCGCTTCTCCATTTCCTCGTCTTGTTTCCTTTCCAAAGCACAATCTCTGGTGCTCCAGAAGGATCAACCCCTAATGAGTAATTACCAGGAGAAGGATCAGTCTCAGATCTCCATGAGACAAAAGCGTGATTGTCTCCGGTTTGTGGATTCACACGAACTTTCATCTGAGGCAAAAACGTATCCGTTGGGTGATTGAAACTCTCCCAAATAACTCTATCTGTGTCGGTCTCAGACAAAACAAAGTTTCCGGTGTCATGTATAGAAACGACTCTGTTGTTGTTGTTGTTAGTGCTTGATTCGATGTTTGAAGACCAGACTGTGATGTTCTTCCCGTCTAATAACACGAGATTCTCATCGTTGCTTATCGTGAGAACTCCAGATTGGTCTGAAATCGGCTTTGCTCTGTTTGCTACCCATACCACAGCTTTATCTTCGATGCTTCCATACCAAATCCCTAGGAAACGATGCGTGGAGCTTCCAGGACTAAAGAATCCGAGCTCGAATGTCTTTTTTGGAGAGACTAAAGGTTTGTGATTTAGACCGTCTCTTAAAGATTCACCTCTTCTGAGTGTATCTGCAGCTATGGAAGATTCATAGAGGAAGAAGAAGATAAACAGAGGAAGAGAAAGTGAGGTTTTGCGAAAGATTTTCATTTTCTTGGGTTTTGGTGTTGGAGAAGAAGACCCAAGTGAGAATATTGGTAATAATAAAGGATTCGTTTTGAGGTTTGCTTAAAGATGAATGAAGAGAAACAGAGGAAGTGTAACAATGGCGGAAACTTCCTATTGATAAAAAGTAAGAGGAGAGGTGACAAAGGAGAAGGATACAAAAAGGAAAGTTTGCTTGTTTTGTGACTGTTAAGAAGTTTCTTTATTTTTGTGTCGTCAGGTTGGAAAGTTGGACCAGAGAATTGAATCTAGAAATTTTGTATAGTCTTTGGTGTAACAAAAAGGTCAAATTGTTTGAATTATTTAAGGTATTATTATTTATTGCCTGTCAATTCTTTTTCTTCATCTACTTTTTTTTGTTCTTTTTCAAGATTATACAACCTGCAGAGAAATATGTGATTGGGGGATCACCTAATTGTTTTTTTTTCTTTTACATAAGGGATCACCTAATTGTTTTGAAACTTTTTTTACGTCTATTTTGGACGGTATCAGTTTACATGTTAGATTTAGATATGTTAGTGGTTCAATTTTTATTGAGAAAGAAAATTACGTGTTAAGAAAATTAAAAAACATGGAAGGAGTAATTAATTGTTTTGTGGATTAAACATGATTAATACAAGATCTTCTTCCTTTTTTAGGTAAATTAATACAAGATCAAGATCTTAACTCCTTTGGATATTTAACTTACGTACAAGATTTCATTCATATCTAGTACTGGACTACTACTGACGTCCATAGTCCACACAGTCAATAATTAAGAATGATGATGAATTATCAAATGGTTGATGATCTTTTTTTTTTTTTTTTTTGACCAAACCAAATGGTTGATGATCATAATAAGAATAATTAGAAGAATACTATATTCTTATAATACTGTACATATAAGGCCGTCCAAGAAAATGTATATAAGCTAGGTGGTTAACAAATTTGCAAAAAACAAATAAATGTTAAGCAAGTGGAGCAGTTGGCTTTGTATACTAACTAGTTTAGTGGAATATTGCTTAAGTTATTTAATACTTGTTACCTTTGGCCGCCACATTGACTCATGTGGTCAAAGTATCGCACACTGGATTTGGATAGGTCTTCTTTTTATTTTATCACACGTGAAATATTTTACATATATTTTTGTTTCAAGTTATATTCGTTTAAGAATTAAGTGTTGTTTGCTTGCCTAAATCCAATAATTACTTCTTTGTTTTGCATGACGTTAAAATCTTCTAATATCGATGCGACCAAACCACAAGTGGATGTACTAGCAATTGTGGCATCAAAGCATATAATGATACTCATACAATGCCAGATTGATTTCGGAGTTTACATTATTGATTCATTTAGTGGAATAGCTGTTTATTACAAGTGAAAGTTTACCAAAAGATTAGTTTATTTGAGAGAATGTGGCTAATAGGCTACAATACAATAAGCAAACACCAATCTCCATTTAAAAATACTTAAAGGGTCCACAATGCTTAGTCATGAATTCTACAGCTACATTATTTAGGAGTTAAGATAATGAAAACTAGATGAAGACAAGCTGTCTAAAAAATCACACAAACAAAACCCATTAAAAGGGCTTTCAGTGAAGAAACTAAAACATATGCAGATTAAGCTTTCTAACGAGGAGATAACACTACAAGAAAAACGTTCATTGATAGCGCAAACCATATGCTATCTTACGTTATTGATAGCGAAATCACAAATGCTGTGACATCGGCAGCTATGGTAGGTGTTTCCCCTACGATAGCGTTATTTTGATATGCTATGATAGTTTTAGATACAATAGCTTTATTTAACTGCTGTTATTTATTTTGATATAGCAGCTGAAATTTTTGTTAAAAAGTAACGACAATTCAAATTTTGTGCTATAATAGGTTCTTCTACGTTAGCAATTTGTTCTTGCTGTTTAATTTGTTTTCGTAGCTTCATGTTTTGTGCTATAATATCTGATTTTCTACAATGACAGTGAAGAATTGCTATACTTAATTTAATTATGGCTTTTAATTTTGCTATTATATATATTTTCAGAGAGCTATATATTTTGATTCTATACCTGTTTTGCATAATATAAACATGAAAACATAAGTCTGAATATAAATTGTAACATAAGTCTGATTCCAATTCAAAAGTTAGAAAGTTATACAGAATCATTCAACATAACAAAAGTCTAAATCCAAAAGACATAACAAGTCTGATTCCAAAGTACATAACAGAAGCTGATTAGTCTAGTCTTAAACTAATTAAAACTACCTAATCTGGACCAAAGTTTCTTCATTCCCTGCAACAATCAACAAAGTCTCATATCAGTAGCAGATATAAAAGCAAAACACAAGCATCACAGTAATTACAAAACTTACCCCAGTTTCTTCATCTACTCAATAGATGACCAACTTATCCATTGGCCATGCAATAGATGAACCAAGTGAATCTCTCATATACTCGATTTCATCTGATGGCCTCCAAACTGCTGCATCATCTATCTTCACTACATCTACCCAAACTCTAGCTGCATTTGCCCCCAAGCGAACATGGTGTACCTTTTGGTCTGGGTCGATTGAATGCACACGTCCTTCACCAACCACCCGCCTCTTTCCACTAATATCCATTAACTTGCACTTCTGATTAGCCTTGATAACTTCAGCTCCAGTTTTACGCTGCCATATTACAATATAAACAGGTTTAATTCATGTATAATAATAACCGGAATCAGTAAGTAACAACATCTGCTAAATTTACCGGAGATCTTCGTAGAGGGGAGTGTGAAGCTAACTGACTTTTCTTTACAGGAGGCTTTGAACATGTTGCTGGAGACTTCTCAACAATAGATTTTGAAACTGTGGTTGCGGATTTCGTTCCTTTTGTTGTGGCTGCGGATTTTGATATCTCAACAGAAGACTTATAACCAGCTGCTGCATTTAGTGGACCTGATGATGGTGCTTTTCCTCCTGATGCTGCTGCCTTTTCTATTGTTGTTTGATGAGTTGATGCAGAAGCCTGATGAAGTGGAGACTTCTGACATGTTGCATCTGCATGGTTTTCAAAGACAACTTTGTTGGCAGGCCAAGCTACAGAAGACTGTAAACAGTCCTCAAGGTACATGACATCAATCGTTGGCCTCCATATAAATGTCTCAGGTTGAATCACTGCATCCACAAATATTTTCACTGCTGCTGGTCCGAGAGGAAGCCCATTAACTAATGCATTGGCATCTTGTGTCTGCCAACGTCCTTCTGCAACAACAACATCATATGAAGACAAATCCAGTAGCTTGCACTTGTTCACAGAATTAGGTCTTGATCCCTGTCAAACACATTCAACCAGTGTTAACATATACTTTCTATGTATGAGTATGAGAATGAGTGATAAAGTTTACCAGGGTTGCAATGTCTTCTGGTTGGAGCTCCTCTTCTAGATTAACACACAAACTAGATGGCTAGGCCACCATATGTCCAACAGCTTTCTCAATGGTGCACATGTTAATCGCAGGTCTCCAAAGGAATGCTTCTGGTACAATAGCAGTGACAATCAAGACTTTAACATCCGTAGGGCCTAAGCGACTTTCATTAACTAATTCATCAGGATCAGAAGACATAATAAGCCCCTCAGCAACTTTTTCCTCAGAACCAGCCCAATCAATCAAGACACACTTTGGTTGTGATCTTTTATTCACACTCTGTAAAAGTAATTAGAAGAAAAATATATTAGATTATAAAGTAACAAAGAAATCAAAAACATTTGATATAAGTCACTTACTCTTGCAGCTGAGTTTTCACCAACCTCAGGTGATTGTCTCTGTTACATAAAAAACAAAGTCAAATACTATGAACTATTTGAGCTTCTTTATGTATAAATAGATAAGCTTCACAATGTATAAATAGATAAGTTTCTAACCTGATTCTTCATTTTCAGAATTACATCTTCTAACTCAGTGACCTTCTGCTGGAGCTGAATCTGATTCTCTTGCATTTGAGCCATACACTTGTGCTTCACTTGGAAACAAGCTAACTTGGTCTTATTCATATTTCTACCCATTGCCCTCATTCTACCAGGATTGTCAGGCCCTAACAGTTGGCTAAGTGAATCTTGTTGTGCTTCATTTGTTGCAATCGATGGATCATCACTGTTAACAATCTCATTTGCCTTTTTCTGCAACTCATAAGATACAGATTCAATAGCAGATTAAGAATCAAATGCCAATATGCACATCATTAGAAGCAAAATTTTAAACTCACAATCTTTTCAGCAGCATTAGTGTTTACTGGTGTACCATCTTTCTTGGTACGTGATTTAACCCAAACCTTTAGCCTTGTCACTTCAGATGGGTCTGCACTACCAGTTTTCTAAACCAAACAAAAATCATTACATATTAATAAGTGTTTTAAAAAGAAGCTGAGCAATATAAACAACATAACTGTCATGTGATTACCATATCTTCTGCTAGTCTAACCATTCCCTTGCGACTACAAGTGTGAGGAATTTGTTTGCGCCTTCTTTCCTTGTAGCTATCGCTTACAACCTAACAGATGAATGTTAACTTGTAATATACTATATAGTACATAAACTTAATTATCCTGATTCCAGATGCATACCTTAAATTCTTGGCTAGTTTTGAGCTTCACAAATTTACGCCAATCGGTTGGAGAAACATTTTTAAGTCGCAGATTCATCCTCTGCTGGTTAGTCTTAGCTTCTCTGATGTTTGTAACTTGCTTTGATTTCCAGGACCTCCACAAACATCCCATCTGCTTAAGCACTGCAACCTTTTGGTACTCTTCATCTAGTTCAAACCTAGCCTGCACTCAATAGAAAAAACAGTAAATTTAATTACAATATCTGATAAAACGTAATGCAATACAAGAAAAATTAGAGAAATGATACCTGGACAGATTTCCAAAGAAGTGTCTTGATTTCTTCACCTATTTTTGTCCAACGATCAATTGTGATAGGAACATGTTCTCGGACAAATGCACCAACATATGATGACAGCTTAACTGACCCTTTACCAATAGGCTCTCCCATGATATTGTACTCTACTCTAACTCTGGTATTTGGATCCTTGGCTATGTCTTTCATCCTAGTTGGTCCTCGCTGTCTCTTACTCTTAGGTTCAATAGCAACCTCATGACCCTCAGAAAATTCTATCTCTCCTTCAGGCTCTTCCACATCAGGTTCTTTATCACCCATTTGGACTTCTACTTGAACCTCAGCTGGTTCTTCATGTTGTGGTTCCAAATGATCTGGATCTTCAGCTTGAACTTCAGCTGGTTCTTCTTGTTGTGGTTCCATTGTACCCACATACTCTACCTCCTCATCCTTTTTTTTAGTGTTTCTTCCTCGCTTTTTCTTGCGCCCAGCCATTTTAAATCACCTAATAAAAATGAAAGAAGAAAGAGTTAGTAGATTAAAGAGAACTAAAAGCAGACATCAAAGCAAAACAAACATAATAACTATCAAACACACAATGGAAAAACAATTAAAAAAAAAAAAAGCAGACATCAGACTTGAGCTAAGGTAAAAAATCAGACATTTCACACATATATCCCTTCACAATCAGATCTCTCATTTTCAGCCTCATCCAAGTCAACATCAATGTCAACACTTGTTGGCAATGGCCCAATGTCTGCAACTGCATCTTGAAACTCTTTCTGACTGAATCTTCTCGAAGGACCTCTCATTGCAACATACCAAGTTGATGAGTCATCTTCCCTTAGGTAAAACACTTGCTTTGCTTGAGAGGCTAGTATGTATGGATCCCTTAAAAAGGAGACTTGACTATGATTCAGATTTACAAGTGTAAAACCATCCTCTTCCTTCACTCCATTGCCCTTTACTGCCCAGTTGCAGCGGAACAAAGGAACATAAAACACATTATAGTCTAACAAGATAATGTCAGTTATGCAACCATAATATGATACCAAATCAACCACTTGTGAGGTGTCCTTCGCACTAGACCTACAGACTGCAGTGGCCTCATAGTAAATACCACTATTCTGAGTTTTCTTATCAACTGATCTTGTGTGAAATCGTTGCCCATTCACTATGTAACCAGTATATGACCTAGCGCAGCTACGTGGACCATATGCCAACCATTTCAGTGTTTCTCCATGTCTGTTTGAATCAAGATGTATCTAACAAAAGTAAATAGAAAAGGTCAGGCACCTATATACATAAACTGAATTACATTAGGTGTTTATGTAAGAGATAACTAGCCTGTTCTTTAAGCCAAGAGGCAAAATTCTGAGTGTGCATACTCCATAACAGTGATGCATCACGTCTGCATCTTCCATTGGAGTCGTGTAGATGCTGTAGGTGCTCACTGTTAAAAGAAAAAGTGAAAAAGAAATAATCAGACATTTATCCTAAATATAATTAATGAATGAACTAGCAAAATGTGGAACTTACTCTACATAAGGCTCCACGACAGCCATATTCTGGATGACAGCCATGTGGGCTATTTTTTTCTCCATTTCAGTAAGATTAAGTGAGATGCCTGCAGAGATTGGACGCCCCTCAAGTATAGTGTTGTTTTCATACTCAGTGTTTCTATCTACACCTTCCTTAACATTGGTTGTATTCTTCAAAAATTCACTACAAAACTGGATGCATTCTTCAGCTAGATAACACTCAGCAATACACCCTTCAGGTCTTGCAGTGTTCCTCACAAAATCCTTCAGAACTTTCATATACCTTTCAAACGGGTACATCCATCTGAAATGAACTGGTCCACCTAACCGAGCTTCTCTGCCTAAATGTACTGTCAAGTGCACCATGATATCAAAGAAACTTGGCGGGAAGAATCTTTCAAACAAGCAAAGGGTTTCAACAATCTCAGCTTCCATTACCAAAAGCTGCTCCATATCAATTACTCGCTGACACAAGTGATTGAAAAATGTGCATAAGCGCACAATTGCTACCCTAGGACCTTTAGGTAACAACCCTCTAAGTGCAATCGGAAGAAGCTGTTGCATTAACACGTGATAATCGTGTGATTTCAGACCTGTGACCTTACAGTCATCTAATGAGACGCCTCTTGATATGTTTGAACAGTACCCATCTGGGCCTTTGAAGTCAAATAGCCGCTTACAGAAAATCTTCTTCTCTGTCTTGGACAGAGACTAAAGTGCTGCGGGAAGATATGTTCTTTTTCCTTCGATTTTAGGGTGCAAATCCTTTCTAATACCAAGCTCCTCCAGATCTTTGCGAGCATTTAGACCATCTTTGGATTTCCCACAATGCAACAATGTCGATACAATACTCGCAGCCACATTTCTCTCCACATGCATGACATCTAAGTTATGTCTAACCGGGAGTTCCTATAACCAGAATGCAAAAAACAACAAAACTGTTACACAAAGTTTACTTGTTTAAATCCAAGACAATACTAGAATAACATGAAAAAAGGACACACCTGCCAATAAGATAGCTTGAAAAAGATTGACCTTTTCTTCCATCTTGATAACTCCTCCTCATCTACTGTTACCTCTTCCTCTTCATCCTCCTCTGACTCACTAGATAGATCATCACTATCAGAACTTGATCCAGTACATTCAACACGTTTTCTCTTACTTGCATGTTGTTTCAAGTTCCCAAAGCTATTTTTAAAGTTTTTCAGGTTTTGATAAATCTCCTGGCCACTTAATATTCTCCTCTTCCTCCCATGTTCAGCTTTTCCATCAAACCATGACTTCTTCCCTCTAAAACTATGTGTTGGGGGCAGACCCTTTCTATGGCACATAAAGACATGTTTTCTGCTGAATTTCAACCACATGCTATCTGTATTTTTTCCACATAAAGGACAACCCATTTTACCCTTTACTTTGCAGCCAGCAAGATTCCCGTACGCGGGAAAATCACTAATTGTCCAAAGCAGCATTGCCTTAAGAGTAAATGTTGACTTACTAAAAGCATCATAAGTCAACTCCCCATTATCCCACAGATGGCATAGATCCTCTATAAGTGGTTCCAAGTAGACGTCAATACTATTACCGGGCTGTTGTGGACCAGGAATCAACAATGTCAACATGATGTTCTCCTTCTTCATGCATAAGTCTGGAGGCAAATTGTAGTTTACTAGCAAAACGGGCCAGCAACTATACCTGGTATTCTTCATGTTGAATGGATTAAATCCATCTGTGGAAAGTCCAAGCCTCAAGTTCCTTTCCTCGGCTGCAAATGAAGGGTATTTGGCATTCATCTGATCCCATGTTACTGAATCTACAGGGTGACGGAGTTTTCCATCGCTGCTTTTGTTGCTAAAATGCCACCTTAAATCTTTAGCCATTTCCTCAGACCTAAACATTCTCTTAAGGCGTGGGATTATCGGAAAGTACCGTAATACTTTCTGTGGGACACCTTTCTTTACTTCACCAGTGTGCAAGTTAGTCTTCCATCTTGAAGCATTGCATTTAGGACAATTCTCAAGCTTTTTGTACTTTTTTCTGAATAGGCAGCAGTCATTAACGCAAGCATGAATCTTTTGATAACCCATATCAAAAGATTTCAAAAACTTCTTCACCTCATACAATGATGTGTGTAGCACACACCCCTCTGGTAACATCTCCGGCAATGTCTCTAGAAGATCATTGAAGCTCTTGTCAGACCATCCATTTTGTGTCTTAAGTCTAAACAAAGACACAATAGCTGACAGCTTGCTATGGTTCACACAACTTGGATATAAAGGAGTTTCAGCATCTACAAGCTTTGCAAGAAACTCATCTTCTTTCTTGTCATCACCCTCTGCAATCTCAGCCAAGTCAAGCTTTTCTGCAAACTCTTCATCCAAATACTCAGCAGCTTGATATAACTCAAATACCTCGTCATTCCAGTGACTTAGTTTGCTTTCACTTTCAGCCACTGCATTCAATTCTCCATGATGATACCAGTCACACCGCATCTTATAAGCTTCATCCATTCCCCTTGTTACAAGATGATCAACAACTACACTACCTAGGTGACGATCTATATTACGACAATCAATGCAAGGACATATAATCATATCGACGTCTCCCAAAGCTGCAGCCACAGCCCGTACAAACTTTGTAGCCCCTCTCTCATAAGCAGGATCAGCTCTTCATTGCAGAATAAAAGGGGAAAAAAAGAAGAAGTAAAGTCTCTGAAACCCCTACTGAAACCTAACCTATATAATTAAAGTCCTTACCTGCCAAGATGCACCCAATCCTTGTCCAACATTATATGTTGATACCGTAATATAAACCTTTAATACCATAAGCAATTAACTCAAAATATATTCAGACTAGTAAACAAATAACTCATACATATATAATATTCAATCAAAGCAATCTCAATAGTTCAATATCAGATTATATAAGTACACTAACTCAGTTATAGTAGCATATTTAAGACAAATTAAACTTAAAACAAAAAGCATGGTTATCAATCAAAAACCATATAAAAGAAACTAGAAACATGGTACTAACCTGTCCTCATATATAGTAACATAACCAACAAGACATCAACAGTAATGTACTAGATTAAGTGTTTTAAATCTCAATAATTTAATATCAGACAAGATAAGTGCAGTAACTCAACTTTAGTAGCATATTTAAAACAAATAAAACTGAAAACAAGAAACACTGTAATCAATCAAACTCATATGCTAGAAACAAGAAATACGGTACTAACCTGTCCTCATATATAGTAGCATACACAACAAGACATTCACAGTAATGTATTATAATCAAAAAAAACATGGTAAACAATCAAACTCATGTAAGAGAAGATGGTACTAACCTGTCTTGTGATGATAAGAGCAAATGATAAGCTTCAAAGTCCCATTATTTCACTCAGCAAAACTTGCAAAACAAAATTATAGAGTGAGTATAAGGTTATGCAAGAAAGTGAATCACTGAAAGTTTGACTAAAAAAAATAACTTAATCGATCTAACACTAAAAACAAGATTCAGACAACAAACAAGGTAGAATACAAAAAAAAAAACTGAACTTTATACCTGATAAATTTGCCAATCAAACGAAAGAGATAAACACAATCTCAGTAAGAAACAAAACTGGAAAAAGGACAAATACTAGAGTAAGAAGATGGGACCAAACACAGAAAAATAGTATGAGTTTAGTGAACATGCAATTTAATCCTGTTACTGGTCCCCGCAATTCACTGCTCAGTTCTTGTTTCTTTTTCAAAGTACTAAAAAATCAGATACAAGTTATGATGTCAGAAGAAACACAAGTTATGATGTCTGAAGAAACACAAGTGAACATGCCAGTTATGATGTTTGGTTTTGTTTAGGGTAAACACAAGTAAGGCGGAATCCAACATAGCAAAAACAGATTATTAAGGTATTGAATTAACAATCAAGAGAATATATATGACAATATCAAAACACAATTTCATAGCAATTTTATACTCAATTTCTATCTGACAATAACGAAAAGAAGATCCGAATTACATAGCACATATCCAAGTTTTTAAAGAAATTTTGTTCAAATACGCCTAAATCAAACCACAAAAACAATAATGTTATGAAATCGTTCTGAAATCGCAAATAACAGAGGCATGCAAAACAAGAATCGATTAGACTTTAGCTAGATTTGGTGTACCTAGAACATCAGACTTGAGCTAGATTTGAAAGAAAGAAACCTAGAAGAAATACGAAAAAGAAGAAAAAATCAACTGAATAAAGGACATGCCTTCGATTTGAGCTCAAATCCGACAGATCTAAGGCGGAAATAGTGCCGGCGTCAGGTTCAGTTTCACGGCGACTTTCAACGGCGGCGACAGAGGGCTTAATCGGCGATTGGAAGAGTCAGATCGTCTTCAAAGAGAGTTAGGTTTGAGAGAGTTCTGTCTGAGGGTTTTCGAGAAAGAGGGATGAGATAACGCGTGTTTTGTGCTTAAGTGATTAAACGCGTGTTTAGGGAATTTTGACCAAGTGTTTGGTGGAATTAGGGATTTTGGGTTCCCGCTCATTGAAATTCTATCTTAGCGTTTATGAAATGCTATCATATAACAACCATAATTACATAACATCTTCAACAGCAGTTTGGTAAACCGTGCTATTACGGTATGCTATCAATGTGGACTTTTTTTGTAGGGTAACTCAGAAACAGTGACATCATTCAACGACATTAGTAACGGTTCTGTCGAAGAAGAAACAATCGAAGGCATGACACTCTCTGACACAAAGGCAGGCCTCGAAGGCGTTGGAAGAGTATAGGAATAGCTATTGAGCATTAGAGCAACCGAATCCATTGTTGGTCTACTCGCTGCACTCTCTTGAACACATAAAAGACCAATGTGTATGCACCTCAAGATCTCGCTTCTTGATCCCGTGGTTAAACTCGGATCAATAACGCTTAGTATAATGTCTTCTCTCCAACATCTCCATACCTGAGAAACAAACAGAATTACAAATTCATTTGACATGATGAATCAAACTGAAACCTCAATTACCTGGTTGGTTTTGTGTACTTACCCAACTAAGGAGATTTTCTGCATCTTCGTCATTATTTGATCGACCATTGTTGTTTCCCTTACCTGTAATGATCTCTATGACTAATACACCGAAGCTGAAAACGTCTGTTTTCACCGAGAATTGGCCGTAAATAGCGTATTCTGGAGCCATATACCCGCTACAAGATGAAATAACAGGTTTATAGCGGTGTTTCTTGGTTAATGAGTTAGTATGATGAACTAACTTACTAAGTTCCTGCAATTTTGCTTGTGAATCGATGTGTTGAAGTTTGGTCTGTGTCAAAGAGTTTAGCTAATCCAAAATCTGCGATTTTTGGATTCATTTCTTGGTCCAAAAGAATGTTGCTAGCTTTAAGATCACGGTGAATAATCCGGTAACGAGAGTCTTCGTGAAGATAAAGAAGTCCTCTAGCAACTCCGCCTATCATTTTGTATCGCACTCCCCAATCCAAAAGTTGACGCTTCTCAATATCTGCAACGGCACAAAGATCAACACTGAGTGGAAAACAGAACGGTAGGATCATCATATGGAGCAAACGGCAGAAAAATATTACCGAAGATGAAATTGTCAAGACTAGCGTTCTTGATGAACTCATAGACAAGGATTCTTTCTTGTCCTTCTATGCAGAAACCTAGAAGCCTCACCAAGTTCCTATGTTGAAGCTTTGCAAGTAGTAAAATTTCGTTCTTGAATTCAATGTCTCCTTGTCCTGAAGTACACGATAATCTTTTCACCGCGATTTCTTGCCCACCCGAGAACACACCCTGAGACATGCATAATCCTAATTTTATATATCTCCCAAGACAATCTAAAGTTACAGTTAACAAGTTTCCTCAAAGAAACCTACCTTATAAACTGAGCCAAAGCCACCACGTCCAAGTTCGTTTTCTGGTGAAAAGTTATCTGTTGCTGCCTTTAGAGTTTCAAAGTCAACTAGCAACGAATCTGAGAACTCATCCTCTGCATTTGGTCCTGAAAAAGGCGATTTCCCAAGTACAGTAGTTCTCAGGATAAATAGTTTATTCTTTGTAAGAAGATTAGTATAACAAGAAGAAGAAGATTGTGTTACCTTTGACTCTACCTCCAGACTTGTTCTTCTTCCACTTCAAGACCAAGCATAGGCAAATTGCAAATAACGCAACAAGAACTATCGGGACGACTATCGCGATAATGACTTTAGATCCACCTTTGCCCTTTCCTGCAACGAAACGTTCAATCTTAGAGACACAGCTGCAGCAGAACGCATTCATATATTTCTATGTACCTGTTCTCTCAGTTCTTGCAGCTGATGTTGGTGGGTCAGCAGGCTGAATAGCAGGTGGATCAGGCTCTAGATCGGAATCGAACTCATAGAATCGCCACGTCTCAAATCTGAAGCTACAACTAGGAAAAAACCACCTAAGACCAACCTGGCCATCACAACAACGTGGGATCCTTTCAAAACCAAAGACTAGACAGTCATTACAATCCTGTTCAGACAAATCCGGCGTACAGTGCGCACTTCCGTAGAATTGCGGGTACCCCGCCACACCCGAACCGCTCCCTTGAGCGTATTTTCTATTGGCCCACCAGCTGCAGCAATCCCTTTGAGTCTGTCCAATAGTTCTATCTGCAGACGATCAAACTCATCTCTGTTTGCTGATATATTTTTACCGGCTTGAAAAGACAGAGTTGGGGTCGTCTCTTTTCTTCCATAGATTATCATGTTCGAGTAACGAAACATACAGTGCGTGTACCACACAACAGCTTGTTTTGTCCGCGGACACTGCTCGATAAGGTTTCTTGCAGCTATCTGAATGCAGCTGAGACAATCATCTCTTTTTACTTCTCTTCTACACAGAGCAATTGCATAAGCTCTTTCTCCAGATGAATCTCCAGAAGAGAGGTTGTAGAAGCCATAAGGTTTGGATGTGAGTGAAGAAAGAGAGGAGACAAGGCCGTTGAGATTATCGGCGAAAGTGCTGTTGGCCGTGAAATTGCCTCCACTAGCTACACAGTTGAAACTTGGAGGAAACTCATATTTATCCGTCTGTGCTGAGCAGATAAATGGTACAAACGTTAGGACACAAGCAAAGAAGAAAAAGATAACTCTGACATGTTCCATGGACGCTTGAAGCTTTTTTCTTCTTCTGAAATCTATGAGAAAACCACAGAATGTAATGAGTCTAAAATGGAAAGGGTCAATCTAACTTGACCCTGGAATCATTCAAAAGCAGTGTGGTCTTTGAACTAGTTCAATATCCAACAGCAGAAAGAACACAACTTGTTGATCAAAAACTATTATAAAACCCAGTAGCAGACACAAGTGGGGCAGTCTTTGTGAGATTGTAGGGGTCCATGATGGTAATAAATTCAAAGAATCACAATATAAAACCAACGACTTGGTGTGAAAACGTTATTTAAATTTCAAGTGTTCATTGCTCACTTCTTTCCCCTCAAGTACCAGGAAGAAACTAAAAAGTTTGAATAGTTTTCAAACCAACTAGAAAATAAGACTAACTAGGAACCATCTAATTTCGTATAAGCCATTTATTTTACAATTGTTTGACTTCTGTAGATGATTAGTGGATTATCTTTCAACTCTTATACTTATATATGTGGACTCAATATAAATCCCTTATCCAATTTTCCAAACTTACTGACATATCTATATATTTCTATCAAATTGTACCTTTAACGAAATCAACAATCGATAAACTGGAAGAAAAGAAACAATGAGACAAAAAAAAAAAAACGTATCTCACAGCTTCAGATTTGTGTTTATTCACAACAAGATCAAGCCAGGCTGCCTGAAAAATTCACACAAACAAAACCCATTTCAAAGGCTTTCAGAGAAGAATCAAAAACATTTACAGATTATCGAGGAGAAAACTCAGAAACAGTGACATCATTTGACGACATTTGTAACCCTTCCGTTGAAGAAGAAACATTCGAAGGTATCACACTCTCTAACACAAACGCAGGCCTTGAAGGTGTCGGGAGAGTAAAAGAATAGCTATTGAGCATGAGAGAAACCGTTGCCATTGTTGGTCTAGTCGCTGCACTTTCTTGAACGCATAAAAGACCAATGTGTATGCATCTCAACATCTCGTTTCTTGATCCTGCGGTCAAACTCGGATCGATCACGCTTAGTATAGTGTCTTCTCTCCAACATCTCCACACCTGAAAAAACAAAAAACAGAATTACAAATATTATCAACAAGATGACCAAAACTGAAACTGCAAATATTGGCTTGGTTTTGGATACTGTACTTACCCAACTAAGAAGATCTTCTGCATCTTCGTCACCATTAGATCCACCATTGTTGTTTCTTTTACCTGTAATGATCTCAATGACTAATACACCAAAGCTGAAAACATCTGTTTTCACAGAGAACTGTCCATGCATTGCGTATTCCGGAGCCATATATCCGCTAAAAATTGAAATGATAACTGGTTTATACCGGTGTTTCTTGGATTCTATAAGTTAGTTAAATGAATTTACTTACTAAGTTCCTGCAATCCTGCTTGTGAATCGATGTGTCATGGTTTGGCCTGTGTCAAAGAGTTTAGCTAATCCAAAATCTGCGATTTTCAGATTCATTTCTTGGTCCAAAAGAATGTTGCTAGCTTTAAGATCACGGTGAATTATCCGGAAACGAGAGTCTTCATGAAGATAAAGAAGTCCTCTAGCAATTCCTCCGATCATTTTGTATCGCACCACCCAATCCAAAAGTTGACGCTTCTCAGTATCTGCAACGGCGCAATAATCAACACAGAGCGGAAGAAGAATGGTAGGATCAGATAAAGTAAAAGCCCGAAAAAGATTTACCGAAGATAAACTGGTCAAGACTAGCATTCTTGATGAACTCATAGACAAGGATTCTTTCTTGTCCTTGTATGCAGAAACCTATAAGCCTAACCAGGTTCCTATGTTGAAGCTTCGCAAGTAGTAATATTTCGTTTTTGAACTCGTTGTCTCCTTGTCCAGAATTACCCGATAATCTCTTCACCGCGATTTCTTGCCCATGAGGGAACACACCCTGAGATACATAATCCCAAGTTTATAAATCTCTCAAATAAATAAACCGAAGTTACCGGTAAGAGGTTTGGTCGAAGAAGCTTACCTTATAAACTGAACCAAACCCACCACGTCCAAGTTCGTTTTCTGAAGAAAAGTTATCTGTTGCTGTCTTTAGAGTTTCAAATTGAACTAAGAGTGATTCTGTGTTCGAGAACTCATCCTCGGCAATTGATCCCGACAAAGGTGATTTCCCAAGAACTAAATACGCAGATAGTAGTTATCAGAATTATAGTTAATCCGTTAGTAACAAGATAACGATTACAAGAAGAAGAACACTGTGTTACCTTTGTTTCTATCTCCAGACTTGTTCTTCCTCCACTTCAAGACCAAGCATAGGCAAATTGCGAGTAACGCAACAAGAACTATCGGGATGACTATCGCGATAATGACTTTCGATCCACCTTTGCCCTTTCCTGCAATAAAACATTCACTGTCTTAATCTTAGAAACAAACACATATTCTGCCTGCAGTAACACACACGAGAGAAACATTCAAACATTTCTATGTACCTGTCCTCTCAGTTCTTGCAGCTGATGGTGGTGAATCAGCAGGCTGAATTGCAGGTGGATCTGGCTCTAGGTCGGCATCAAACTCATAGAATCGCCACGTCTCAAACCGGAAGTTACAACTAGGAGAAAACCACCGAAGACCAATCTCAGCATCACAACAACTTGGGATATTCTCAAACCCAAAAACTAGACAATCATTACAATCCTGTTCAGACAAATCCGGCGTACATTGCACAGTTCCATAGAATCTCCGGTACCCCCCCGAAGCTGAACCGTTCCCTTGAGCGTATTTCCTATTAGGCCCACCAGCCGCCGCAATTCCTTTGAGTCTGTCCAATAGTCCTCTCTGCAGACGCTCAAAGTCATCTCTGTTTGCTGATATCTCTTCACCAGCAATAAAAGCCTTAGTCGGATTCGTTTCTTTTCTTCCATAGATTGTCCTGTTTGAGTAACGAAACATGCAGTGTGTGTACCACACAACAGCTTGCTTTGACCGTGAACACTGCTCGGTGAGGTTTCTTGCAGCTGTTTGAATACAGCTGAGACAATCATCTCTTTTGACTTCTCTTCTACACAAACCAATTGCATAAGCTCTTTCTCCAGATGAGTCTCCAGAAGAGAGGTTGTAGAAGCCATAAGCTTTGGATTTGAGTGAGGAGAGAGAGGAGACAAGTCGGTTGAGATTCCCGGCAAAAATGCTGTTCGCCGTGAAGTTGCCACGATCAACACAGTTGAAATCTGGATCAAACTCATAGGAATCTACCTGAGCAAAGGCATGAAATGGAACAAGCGTTAGGAAACAAGCAAAGAAGAAGAAGATAACTCTGACATGTTCCATGAAAGCTTGAAGCTTTGTTCTGCTTCTGTAATCTATGAGAAAACCCCAGTGTGTAATGAGCCTAGATATGGTAAAGGTTGTTGTAATTTGACCCCAAGATCTTGAAAAAAAAGCCGTGTGTTCTTTAAACTAGTTCACAGCCCAAAGAACACAAGTTGCTGATCAAAAACAATTATAAAACTCATTAGCAGACACAAGTGGACAGACTTTGTGAGGTTGTTGGGTCCTGCATGATGAGAATAGATTCACAAAATTGCAATATAAATTTACGAGTTGGTGCAACGAATCAGGTCAACGGTGTGTGAAAAGGTTTATTTAAATAACGAGTGTTTATTGCCCACTTCTTTCCTGTCAAGTACCAATATGAACTGGAACTAAAACAAATCTTCCATTAATGGTAAATAAGCTACTTAAGAAGATCCCATACTTAATGGTTAATAAACCTTCGAATTGCAAACCAGAAACCATGAAAAAATGTTATAACTTTCAGCAAAGGAACATAACCACATGCACTATATAATGAAGAAAGATCATACTTTTTCAAAACCCTTTGCTTGGAAATAGCAGCAACGTAAAACAGGAGGAAACAGCCCAGAGATGAGCAACTCTGATGTTCTTTAGTATACAGCCTCGAGCTCACATCTCGCCTTGGAAACCTCATCATCCCGAATTTGAAGCTAAATAAACACGCTTGCATCTCTCCGATGAGTTCGTGATCCCCTTCGACGCCATTAAAGACGATGTAATGAAGCTCCAGTGAGCCAATTCGACGCCTTTGTTTGTTGTTCCCGTGGTTCCAGAGGAGTAAAATAACAGAGAGAATAATCTGAGGTAGGGCAAGATAGTACCATCAATTAATGAAAATTGAGAGCCCTATGACTCCGGAAACTTGTACGAATTCTCAAGATTCAATCAGCTCAACAGAGAGGTCGAAACCATTGTCGAACGGAACACACAGGAAACTGATTTGAGATGTAGGAGGGAAGATCAATACGACGACGTAACAGGTATTACCAGTGTAAATGGTTCGGTTCGGTTCGCTAATTTACTTGTCTGGTTTTAGGATCCTTTTAATTTAGGTTCCGAGTTGTGTAAACCAAACTTTGGGATTTTCCGGTTTGGTTTGGGCGTAGAACACCATCGGTTTGTTTCTCCAATAACTGATCTTAATCTTCATGTTTGCTTGTCCAATAACTGATCCACAAGATAAGAATCAAGATTTGATGTATTTTTTGCATTAAACCAACAAATAATGATCGCTGAGTTAGTTTCATATCAAGACAGAAACAGAGATAGTATATCAAGCAATGTCTGTGTTCTCGGAATGGGATCGCTCTGTTTGTTAGGACCATAAAGACTCGTTTCCGATCGTTGCTGAATGATTAGGAGCAGAATGGGCTCTAGTTGTTTTGATGTGTTATGATTAATGAATCTTACTTTGTAAACAGAACTAAAAGAAATCATAACTTTCATGTACAAGAGAATTTATGTTTCCGAAAATTGTGGGTAACTCTGTTTCTCATTCCTTCTTTGCTTGCAAGTTTCAAGAGAGAGGGAGAGAAAGAGAGAGATCCTCCTGAGATTGAGGAGCAACGCTCAGTATTTTTAGGGATAAGACAAAAGTAGTCATAGCTGTTTCAGGTTTTTTAAAAAAAACTTCTATGACTTATTCTACTTCTTGTCCAAAAAAAAAAGAAAAAGACTTCTTCTACTTCAAATCTCCATTGAACAGAAGCATTCTTGAAAACATTCCTCATTTAACAATGCTTACTAAATGTTCCTTCCCTTTCATTTCAATTAAGGATCATTCTTTGCTTTCCTTGCAAGGATCATTCCCCTAACAAACCCTTGCCTATTCTTCGTATAACTACTAGAGCCAAAAGAAATCCGAGTCCACCATTTTTTTACGACCAAAAAGACTCTAGCTATCAAAAAGTTTAAACTCAATGTTAGCTTTCACAAAGATGGCTAGATTCCAAGGGTCGCTGCAATCCCGGGCTACCTTATTGTTAATCCGAAACTACCATAAACAGCCTGTCAAAGTTGTGTGGAAGAAACCCCAAATTGGATGGATAAAGCTAAACTTTGACGGATCCAGAGGAAGAGAAGGACAAGCCAGCATTGGTGGGATATTCAGGAACCACAAAGCTGAGTTCCTTCTTGGATACTCAGAATCTATAGGGGAAGCCACAAGCACCATGGCAGAA